GTAGAAACAGAATTATACCGGGCAGCGAGAGCGTTCCATAGATCGGCAGATGTGGTGAAGTTGCGGACATGCTTGTGAACAGACGGACTGATGACGGCAAGAAGGCATGCACGGATCTGAGTATCAATCACAATCCATGTTTGGAATTCTGGGTTAGGGTTTTCCTTGCCATCCTTGGATAGGATTTTTGGAGGCACAGCTTCATGACCATCGATCCAACCAAGAAGAAGGTTGGCCTCGAGAGCAGTTTTGACATTGAGAGACCATGCAGGATAATTTGAATCGGTGAGCTTCTCTGGGATAAGATTATGGAGATTGCGGAGAAGAAGCTTGACGCCAGAAGGAAGCGAAGCAAGCGGATCTGAAGATTGAGCCATGGTCGCCGTTTACGGTCGACCGGCGAGTGGAAGGAGACCGGCGGTGAAGCACAGTCTCGAAAAAAAGGGCTAGGGTTTAAACCTAGGCTCTGATACCATGATACAATTTGATAATAATTTGTCTTATTGAATATTGAGAGATATGTCCCTATATATAGGGATTACAAGAGAGAATCCTATTCCTAGTAGGAAAGGAATAAAGTAAGTATGGTAATACAAGAATAAGAAAACTAAATAATATTAGGAGTCTTCCTATTAAAAGAATCTCTATTTTGGATAATTATAAACTCTTGTGCTCCCACTACTATTTTAATTCCTAAGTGCGTATCTCAACTTCACAAAGCGGGAAAGCCGAGCTTTCCCAACACATAGCATCATGGGGGCAGTACCTATTATAGTTGAATATAAGAACACTTTCTGGCATTACTATGGCTCGCAAAGATCCCAGATTCAGTAGAATTGCATGGTCACGCACCTAGAACATGTAACCAAAATCTAATAATTAATGTCCATAAGAAGATCTACTTAATTCTCCGGACTTCAGAAGAAGAAAAACAGAAAACATGACAAGCAAACATTCAGAAAGTGATGTACAGAAATAGGATAAACCTTGATAATAAACACCAAAACAATCAGCTAGTCCCATACCAGTAAAGTCGGCATGGAATTAATTAACCACAGTGCAGGATCGACACTTCGTATATCTCTTGGGCGTAGACCTGTGGGTAGTAGTAGCACATTCTTGAAATCAGATGGCATGCATCCAGAGGCAGATAAGGGATATCAGTGAAGAACATACTCATCCAAAAAGTTTCAATTGAAATGGTGTTCTGTGCAATAGCTAACAATATGAAGTTTCACACATGCACACAATTGGGCATGTTTGATCAAGAAGAGATGAGACAAAAATACACAATGCAAAAATACTAGAGAGAAGATTTAACCCACCACTGGATTTCAGCAGGTGTCGTCTGTTTATTTTCTTTCTTGAAACCATCCCACTTGACTTGACTTCAACTACCTGCAGAATTCAGAAAGAATCCAAGTCATTGCCAATATTAAGCCTCTAATCACATCAGTTGGAGAGAGAAAATGATCAAAGCTCCAATCCTAGTTTAATCTATGATGAGCATAAGTGGGAAGCAGATCAATGAGTACGATGAGCTTGTGCATGAGCATAATTTGCTCTTATGTATGCTCCATATCCCATATGCATATAGAAATTTGAAGAAAGAAATTTCAAACAAAAAAAAAACAGGAAAGTTGTTTTATAAGAGTACAAGTACAACAAAAAACCTGATAAACAGGTTCGCGAATACCCATGGACAAAGAATCTCCGCTGGCGGTCTTCAAATTGCGCGATCCGTCGGAGAATTCGGGAGGAACCTCATCATCGGAGTCCTTTAGCGATTCGATCTTATCGTCTTCTTCCCTGGCCTCATCATCATCATCACTCATCAAACTATCCAGCTCGATCTCCTCCTTGGGCCTTGCGAAACACCTAACGGCTTCAAGAGCCGGAAGCCTTCTGGACACGGAGCGGCTCTCAGGCGACCATACGCCGGAGTTTCTGAGCCGGAGAATCGAGTATGCACCGGCAACAAAGATCCGGAGCTCCGAAGCCTTAGCCGGCAAGTGGAAGGGACTAACAGTTGGGATCAAGGCGGCCATTGTTGGATTTCGGAATCTGAGTTCATGTGAGAGAACAGAAAGGTGATTGTGCTCGTCCCTGTATTTTTCCCTGATGGAGATTCCGTTAACGATTATACCAGCGGTTATATTCCCCGTTAATTTAAGCCAATTTTATTCTGCACAAATTGTTTTTAAAATTGATACTCCCGTAATTCTTAATTTCATGTTCCCAAATAAAATTGATAGGTTCTAGAGTGGCTATAGAAGTCACTCACGCAATTGGAACACTTACGATGCTCCATTCGCAAAATTGATAATTCTTACCCCTCTAACTCCTGGTAAACCCTCTACCTAGTTCCGATCCCAACTCATCCTCCTAACCATGTCAATTGCGGAGTGCAAGTTTAGTTGACTTTGGAATCAAAATTTTTTACTTTAAAGTCAATCATAGTTACAGGGTGCAATTGACGTAGGTGGGAGATGATTTAGGCTCAGGACTTGGTGGGGGTTTACTGTAGGAATTTGGGGTAGGAATCATCAATTTTATGAACGAGGGCAGTGACTTCTATGGTCACTGAAACACAGTGGCCACCGAACCGGGCCAAATAAAATAATCACAATATTCATATACTTATTAATTTATTTTTTATTAAATTTAACAAATAATAAATTTGTGAGATTTATAATCATTTTGTTTGTGAACCAAGCATTTCTTTTTTTACTTTTCAAATTCCCCTAAAACCATCATGTCCATCAATCCAGTTGCACCCCATCTCATCGCCTCTAGATCGTCAATTTGGGCAACCCAAATCAACATTTTAGGGGCACGAAGGGACAAGGATAGGTGCAAAGAGTTTTGGTGGTTTAAAAAGGTATATATATTACTAATTTTACTAATGTAGCATCGTAGGTGAGCCAGATGATTTTAAGGTCGAATTTTTTTTATTTTTTTTTAAAGTTTATTTTTTTTATTTTTTAACATATATTATTAATATATTTCAAAAAAATGATTTAAAAATTTATTTTTTAACAACCAAGTCCAAAAGCTGCTCCCCATGGCTTTTCAAATTTAAGCTTTTTAAATCGAACATTAAAGTGAAGAAGTCATTAATCAAACAATAGTTTTGGTTGTTCGACTAGTCAAAAGAGCTAAAGTCAGTCAAAGATGTCAAAAGTCATCCAAAAAGTTGTTTTCCAAATAAGGTCATTAGTCAAATAATAGTTTTGGTTGTTCGATTATTCAAAAAACTAAAGTCAATCAAAAATGTCAAAAATCACCAGAAAAGTTGTTTTCCAAACAAGGCCTTTATCTCATCTGGTTGGATCTAACATGATATCATTAAGGTCTGATCAGGGTCTGACCCAGTTTGATCTGATCTAATATAATTGTAATTATATTTTAAAAAATTTGATCTGATTTTAGTCCAATAAGAATAGTAATAATAATGAATAGTAAAATTGATTGTAAAGAAAAAGCTTTTAATGCACCTGCTAGAGTTTAATTTGAATATGTGACATTATAGTTGAGAAAATTATTCTCATTTTCGGCAGTTATGTTATTCAACCACAAGGTGTTTTAGAGCCTCAAAATCAAGTAATGAAGTGATTTCTAAAAGTGTGCATTTGACTAATAATATTCCAATGTAGCATTCAAAAAAAATTGCTATGTACAAATATTTGGGCTGGCTGCATCTATGGGGCACCTAGTATGAAGTATGCCATATTGTTGGTGGGCCGAAACAGTTTGGGGAACTTTTTGGCCAAACGAAGCCCAAAATATAACAGGCCATATTGTGATTTGATGAAATGAAAGTAAATGTGCACTATTTTGAATTCACTCAATAATTTTTTTCAAAAAAACAATTTTTTTCTAACTCATTATGTATATTTATCTCTTCATGTGAGATAAAGGAGATGGAAACATTTTTATAATAAATTTAAACAAAAATTACATCATTTTTCATTTGCAGCAAAAGAAAACAAATGAGCTTACCTCTTCTTATTGGTATTTTTGTTTCCTTTTCCATAGCCTTTTATGGGGTCTAAAGTCTAAACATTCCCAAAAAGTTTATGATTAAATTTAAATTTTGTGTCCTTATAATTTTGTAATCCAAACAAGCTATCTACAAGCACACACAAGATCCAATATGTAATTATATATGAATAAAAGAGCAAATAATATGCTTTGTGTATTTATGAAAGTTGTGTTGTGATTTGTGAAGAATGCTCTTGTACATGTATATGAAGTGGTACATTATTATTCTCTATGTCCCAATTTAAATCCTCTATTTTTAGATTATAATAGTTAACTAACTCTTATAATAATAGAGAAGACCCTATACATATGACTCTTATTATGTGATGATGATACCGGATAAATGTTGTGATCACTACCACATAGACTACAAGTCTACATTCCAAAGTCAAATTTTATCGATGTGCGTTGCGCCCTTAGCAAAAACAAGTGCCAAGGTAGTAGACCCAAATTCGATTTTTAAAAATTGTGTTGGAAGTCAACTATGCTAAGCATGAGGTCTTTGCAACTATCATGTGCAGACTTCACTTTTTGCCTAAGTCTACGCTCGAGTTTGATTTATCCCCTCTCAGTGATCGTCAAATCAGGTCTGAGAGAGCCCTCGGGGCCTTTTTCCAAAGCCAAATTTTAAATGCAAAAAGCAAAAGAGTAATATGAAAAACAAGAAAAGAATAAGAACCCATATTGGTTAAAGGCATGTACGAAGAGGTGCAGATAAAATTGCTTTATTGATTGCCTGTTTGGTCTTTCTTACTTACCTTAGCATTAAGGTAGCTTAGTCAACACTGGACAACTTCAAAGCTTTATGCGTCATTTGCACATTTCTTATACGGAGTACTAAGCAAATGTCACATGCAAATGTCAATTTCAAATAGTCAATTTGGGACTCTATAATTTGGCACAATTTGACGCCCTATATTATTATTTCACAATGTTTTTTGGTATGTATTAAATATTTTGATATGTAGAGCATCTTTTAATCATACTTCTCCCAAAAAAATCTCATTTGTGTTTTGGAAAAAAAAAGTGTTGGTATTGTGTATGTTCTCAAATAAAAATGACGACACGTACATTGTTATGGACTGACTTATATAATATGTTAAGAGATTAAACAAAACAAACATATAAAATATATGGAGTAGATGTTTATGTACAAAAATACTTATATTGTAAGGAATTCGAAAGAGTATTAATCATATTGGAATTTGCATTTTTTTTTCATTTATACGCAATAAATCGTTAAAAAATTTTAGTACTACTCATAATAAAGTATTTTTTAAATGCAAAAAGTTATTTCATTTTTTTAATGTTATAGATTATATTACATATAGTATCTGTTCATACATTTTTCAACTTAATGACGCACAAAGTACCAATGCTTTTGCCTTTGCTGGGATTTGAACTTGGGTAAAGTTTCTCATTAATCCTTTGAGGGCTTTGACTAGGCATTCTACCACTCAAGCCAGAAGAGAAATTCAATTATTTATATTATAAACACTGCACTTAAAATCGTTATTATTTCTACTCATCCTAAAAAACATTATTTCTACAAAATTCTTTATTTTATAAAGCACAATAATTATGTGACTGATAATACAGTATCAAATGTTGAGGGACATCTAAATCACACACATTTCACAAATAAAATTACGCGTATGTACCAAAATGTTACCGGAGTATTTTCTAATTATAGCATGTAATTAAATGCACCATTTTCATCTTTTCTTATTGACAAAAAAGGAAATAAAGCTTCATCTAATCCAACGGCACCAAACGATTCTAATCTGGCAACCACACGATACAAAGCAAAATATAATTAAATAATTAATAAATAAGTACAATTTTGAAAATGAAACAGAAAAGGCATCAGACCCAGTGTTTACACATTTTTGGTAATCTGTGTGTGAACGGACCATACAAATAAATTCATTAGAAAATATTATTCTTTTTTGTTTTTAACAAAATGTGAAAATATTACCTACTCCTACTTGGCTCTTTCACTGTCAATCAACGGGAATAAATATTTTGATTTTGGTTCTAATTTGTTTATTATCGAGTATTTTGTTAAAAAAATAAGGCTATAAATAGATAACCAAACATGTGATTACTCTTCGCAACCGTATTCGTTTGAACTTTAAATAGAAAATGTTTGCATCCGTTAAAAGAGATTAATATCTGTATCCAACTGGTAAACAAATGCGGATTTGGTAATCATACATCTAATCATTTATAATTCACTCCGCATAAACATCCGTTTCAGTCTCCATTCATCCGTTATATATAGTTATTCCAAATATTTTATTTTTTATGAAGAATGAATTAGTTAAATATAATCCAACAAATTACAATGTTGACCTTGAATTTTGTCGATAGTCATTGCAAAACATAAAACTATTAAGAATTGTCCTCTCTAGAACTTTAGTTGTAGTCTTGGATCAGATGGTACCAAATTCATCCGAGGTATGTAAACCTTTTCTCCGACTCTATTTCCCAAAACCATTAAAGCATCGATAAACTCTTTCACGACTATTCAAACTATTTTGATACCCCTTTTTAAAAACTATTTTGTAGTTTGACATCTCCGAACATTTGAATTCATTCAAAAACTCAATTGTTATCCAATCGTCATCAACATTTACATCCAAATCTGCCTGGCATGAATAATCAAAACTCTATCTTCGGGAATGAGGAATATGAAAAAATCATTTACCATTTCTACAACCTCAAGCATGGGTGCTAGTAGTAGTGCCCTATCCTCAAAAAGATAATAACTTTTTAGATAAAAAATATTAGTAGTCCCATGATTCTCAAATGAAAAATTGTAAATACATTTGGCAAATTTTATTTATTTTTTCTTTTACATTGAATAAGTAATCATTCAAGCCCGTGAAAACATTATTTTTTAATTAATATTATTTAAATAGTTAATCATTAAAAAATAGTCTAGGTGTATTTTGTTTTATAAAATATTAATTTAGAGATTTAAATATACAGGAATATTTTATATTTTTACGTCAATGTTTAAACCAATAAAAGAAAAACTAACTTCATTTAAGAAGCATATCATAAA